AAAAAAAAGAAAAAAATTCATCTGCAGCCATTTATCATTTCTGAGGAAATAGTGGGCTTTCATGCTGTACTATCATAATTTCTTGGGAATTTTTGAGCATCTAACTGTTATTTTCCTTTCCTATTTGTTTGTTCTGCAAATTTCCATTAGCCGAGAGTATGTAGACAAAAGAGAGGAGCAAAGACAAGCAAGAGAAGAAAGGTTTGTATCGCTCTTCTTTTCCATGGTAACCAAATGGCACGTGACTATTAACCAAGCATGCTGAGTAGGTGTTCATTGTAATTAAAGCTTCACCTCGATCACCTAAGACCTTGAATAACTGGCATTTTGCTGACTAGAGTATCCTGGTTATCTAAATTTTCCAAGAAAAGTTCAGATTTATTGATCAGTGGTTTTGTGTTAAAATGTGTGTGTCTGGTCCTCCAAAACTCCTCTCCAAATGAGCACCGTTGTATCAGCATGTTGACATGTGATGTATATTTGCCACTTGCACTGAGCACTAGATTAGGCTCCACTGCTGAGCCTGGATTAGGTGTTTCTCCCAGGTGCTTCCATCTCACCTGGTCAGCATTCCCTCAACAAACTGAGCACACACCCCATGCCAAGTACTGGCTGTGGTGACAGACACGCTTGTGATTCTTGCTGGTTGTGCCTGCTCTTGTGCTGTCTTCCTGCTGACGGTACTCAGGTCCTGATGGCAGAACCATGCCTGGCGTTCCTTGGTTTCTCTGCTTCCCACCACGGTGCTGGGTACATAGTAGGCACTTAGGAATGCAACGTGGGATAGATAAGCAAATAAACCAATGGCTTATTTTAAAACATTCCAGCTGTTGGTGGCACCTATGGCTCACAACTATGGTAGGGTGCTGGTCCCATATGCCAGAGGTGGTAGGTTCAAACCCAGCCCTGGCCAAAAAAATAAATAAAATAAGATAAGATAAAATATTCCAGCTGTAAACTAGTTTGTTAATTTCAATGGAAGAATGCTTCAAATCCCACAAAGATATAAAAAAGTTAATCTATTCAGTGTTTGATGAATTTAGAGAAGCAAAGGAAGATGGTTTAGGAAGTAGGAGACAAGTTTTTACCTCCATGACTACGCAGTCTGCAGTCTCCCCCTCTACCACCAGATGGGGTGACAGCATGGCGAGATGGAAAGGCTGATTTTTGTATGTTTTATACCAGAGCCAGCTGGGAACCTAACAGTTTCTGGACTGTGCCAATAAGAAGTGGAATGGTGCTAATTTTTAAAGCACCAGCTAAATAAATCAGAACTGTCTGAGATAGGGAAGAGTAGAGACTGTGTTTCATTAAAAAATTAGATCAGCTTCAGAAATAAAACTATGACATTGCTTTGAGTCTAACATTCTACTAGATTATTGTCATCGTAATAACCAGTTGTGGCTAACAAATTTGGAGTGAAAGATACTGGTAAACAAGACACTTCTTTTTCTAAGTAGTACCTGTTTTTGACATCAGCTTACATACTTAGGCTGAAAATGCTATTGATTTTCTGCTCAGGTATAAGGGATTAGATTTTATTTTTTTTAGTTCTTCCTCCAGATTCTGCACTTCCTGGGGCTTTTGATGACTGGATTGTCAGGTTATGTCTGCATAAGCAAAGCTTGACAGTCCCTCGGGGATATCTGGGTGCCATGTCAAGGTCTGAACTGGCCCAGACTGACTCCAAGATTGTCTCAAACCACTAACATCAAGCTCTTTCTGGATATTTACAATTTTTTTTTCCTGCCAAACATGGCTTTACTTCTGTCTGGCAAACTTATGCAGAGGAGGTTGCCACTCCTGTCCTCCCTCCCTGGTTCTGCCCGTAGTCCTTGCCCTCAGGCTCTCTGGCCTCCTGTGGGTTCTTTCTTTACAGCGCACCTCTCTGTTCACACACAGGTCTAGTGAAGCAGCCCAGCATTTTCCCTTGCTTTGGACCAGCCACTTTTCCTGGCTAGTTTTCTT